CTGAAGCAATGGAGGCTATGAGATGGCAGCAGCTTTGCTAGATTCACATGACTCGGATTTGGCAGGGTGAGATCCAAGTCTGGATTTCTGCAGTCTTCAGTGTCAAAGCAAATCTCCAGCCCCCATAAGCTGCCCTCAAGGTCAGACACTGATAAAGCTGACAGCACTCCTTGATCTTTTACCACCACTGGGATTATCACTGTTTTTTTAAAAAAAAAGTATCATCATAAATTGAATGTTAAACATGAATCTGTAAAAATTATGGTTGTCTCAGTTCCGGCAAATCCGCAGAGTAAAGGAGGAGCTTTTGTAAAAAAGCTGTGTGGCCCATGATCCCAGCCTTTGGGAGGCCCAGGTGGGTGGATCACATAAAGTCAAGAGTTAGAGATCAGCCTGGCAAACATGGTGAAATCCCATCTCTACTAAAAATACAAAAATTAGCCAGGCATGGTGGTGGGTGCCTGTAATCCCAGCTACTAGGGAGGCTGAGGCAGGAAAATCGCTTGAACCCAAAAGGCGGAGGTTGCAGTGAGCCGAGATTGCGCCACTGCACTCCAGCTTGGGCAACAAGAACAAAACTCCATCTCAAAAAAAAAAAAAAAAGCTACATGGCCTTGGGTGAGTCACATCAATTCTTAGCCATGGTTTTATCATTTGTACAATTAGGATAACATTCCCCCACCGGTTCCTGAAAGGATTAAATGAAATGATAGATATAAAAGTGCCTGGCACCTTTCCAGTGCTTAGTCATTAATTTCCTCTTATTTTTTGCAATAAATGTTACTGAATAAACAATTTACCAATATGTCTATTGGACATGTTCCTTGTGTTTGGTGGTAAAATGACTCTGCATGTAATCCCCCAAAATCCGGAGTGGTAGATACAAGCTTTACAGAAGGGGAAGCCGAGGCACGGGGAGCATAAGTGATTGGCCCAGAGTTCCACAGCAAGTGGCAAGTGTGGGATTTAAACTCAGGTATGCTGAATGAAACATTCATACTTGTAAGAACCATGCTATCCTGCCCTCCAGGAGATGAGGAGGGACAGACATTTCATGTGGTAAAGGCTGAACTTGGCAACTTGCCTTTTGCTCTTTTAACCTCATCCCAACTCCTTAGAAAACAGATATTTGTGTGAGCGTGTCACTCTCTCAAGGACACTGCTCAGAAAGCTTCATTGATTTCTTTTACTATATGGTTGGAATTTTGCCTGCTCCTCGTAAACCCTCAGAAACAAGCCTCTTGAGGTCACCAAAGCAACTGGCAATTGTGATACTCCTAAAGTTCTTTAATACCTGATTTCTCCCGGTGGCCAGAGAGGGCCCTGCCCTCCCCGCTCCGGGGTGAGAGATGGGGTGAAGACTCTACGGGATTGTGCTTCCTGGTTTTCCCTTCAAGATTTACTTACTTGTTTATTTTCACTCCTTTTAATAAAGGTTTGAGGTAGAATTGCTCATCATAGGGAACCACCAAAATATCTAGATGAGAAAGAGATGTCTGCAGCCTCTGCCGAATAAAGGAACTCAATGAGGAGGGTGTCATGGGTTTCTCCAGAGAAGAGACCTCCAGAGACTGTGACCAGAGGGGAGGTATGGTGGGAGGGCTCTCCTACATGAGCAGAAGGAGGAGAACCCCAATACTGGTGCTGTGGGGTGCACACCAAGCTCCCGTTCCCAGCATAAAACTGCTTTCTCCATTTTTAATTTACAGAAATGGGGAGTATATGGAGGGTTTGGGGAGAGAGGAGAGATAGATGGTTCTGTGTAGAGAAGGGATAGATAGTTCAGCAGGGTGAAGATGCAGGCAGATGGGGTCAGTTCCAGAGAAGCTGCAAACCAGCCATGGATTCTGTCTGCAGTTCAAGAAGTACTACTGAGGCAGCAATCAGGGTTATGTGTCTGGGGCTCCCCAGATTCACCCAGCAAATATTTCCTATCAAAAGATAGCCTGTAGGATTCTGTCACAATTTCTACCACTAGTGAGCATCGTTTTGGTTTTTCTTTTTCTTTTTCTTTTTGAGATGAAATCTCTCTGTCACCCAGGCTGGGGTGCAGTGGCGAGATCTTGGCTCACTGCAACCCCCGCCTCCTGGGTTCAAGCAGTTCTCCTGCCTCAGCCTCCCAAGTAGCTGGGATTACAGGCACCCACCACGACACCTGGCTAATTTTTTTTTTTTTTTAAGTAGAGACAGGGTTTTGCCCTCTTGGCCAGGCTAGTCTCAAACTCCTGACCACAGGTGATCCGCCCGCCTCAGCCTCCCGAAGTGCTGGGATTACAGGGATGCGCCACCACACTCAGCCGTGAGCATCTTCTCTGCGCCAGGCACTGATTAGCACTCTGGGGCCTCAGAGGCACTTGAAGCTTGGAGTCTAATGCTGTGGTCTAATGTTGAAAATAGTGTAGAAGCATGGAGGAGAGAGGGCATCTACCTCGACTGGAGAAATTCCAGAAGGCTGCATGGAGGAGATGGCAAGAGGGATGGCGATAGAAAGGGAGGGAACCCCAAGCAGGAGAAACAGCACAATCAAATACACAGTGGCATGAAACATTTTGTACCTAGGATACTATGCAGCTGGCCATGTGTATGGATGGCTTCTTACAGCACTATGACTAGATACATCAGACAAAAGCCACCTTTTACTCTAGTGATCTGTCCTTAGAATTGCACTTGTGGCATTTGGAGAATGGGCTGTAGCACCTTCATGATCCCATCCTCTGGGAGAGGATGGGCCAACCCAGACATGGCTCCTAAAGACTGAGGAAAATAAATGACAAATAATAGGGGATATTCTCCTTTAAAATTAGTCACTCTTATCCAAATATCCTCTCATTGTAAGTACCCTAGGGATGAATTTCACAACTGTAATGTGCAATCTCTACTTCTGACACACTCTGAAAAAAAACCCATAAAGGACAGCTAGTGACCATGGGGGCTCAGAGCTAAACTCAGATTTCAAAGGATCTGAGATGTGTCAGAGTTGCGAAGCATGGGGTGGGGTAGGGGGCAGTTGTCTTCTTCCTCGCCAGGGAACAACATTGATCAGGGCCCCTACTCCATGTTATTCACACATTTTCACACTCAGTCCTTACCTCAATACTATAAGGTCAGTGCTATGCTCCCTGTTTTCTTGATGAGATGCCTGAGGCTTAGAGACCTTCAGCAACCTGCTCGAGACCTTCCTGACCTTACAAAGCCAAGCCAAGATTTATTGCTGCATCTGCTTCACACATGCTTCCCGGAGACTTCTCCCAATGCATTTGTCCTTGATGTTCCAGCCTCAGCACAGAGGTGAACTCTCAAGCTAAAGGAGCCCCTCTTTATCACTGGCTTTTCTTTTCATAGCATTTACTCCTCTCTGCTAGAGCAACCGGGGCTTATTCATCACCTGCTTCTCTCCCTAGGCTCCTGACTTGTTCACTGCTGTACCCTTTGTACTCCCAGCAGAGCCTGGCACATAGAAACAAACCCTGAACAAATGGTTGCTCAGTGAACAGAGCCATCTGGCTCACCCCGAAGCCCAGCCTCCTCCAAGGTACTGGTATCACCATGGTGGCGCCAGTGGCCCACTGGGAACAGAGGAGCCTTCTGGTAACTGCAGCCCGACCCCAGGTCCCACCATGTAGGACATTCTGAGTTCCTCATGGGTGAGGTCAGGCAACTTTCTAGATTTTTATTTCTACTTCAGCAAAGAGATATCATCTAGCAATGTTCTACGTGACAAACATTTGGGATTAGTGAACTAACAGCACCCATAACTCACATTGCTTGATGACTCAGAATCACTCTTCTGCACAAGTCTGGCTGAGGATGGCTGCACAGCCATCACAGACATGTGTCCTCACAGAGCGTGGGATGCCCGCTGTGGTGGGCAAACACACGTCATCGGTCACTGGGAGCCTGCCCTGAGTCCACTCCGACTTTCAGGTGCTGCTGTTATTGCATCAGTCGGTTCCTGTGTACATGCTCTCACAGCGGTTGTATGTGTTGATAGCTCTGTTCTTGCAAGGTGCTCCTTTAATTGTGATTTTGGTCCTCTCTAGTGTTTTATCATCTCCAAATTATTTTTTTCACTAAAAAGCAGTGACAAGACCTTGAGACCTACTTCAGTGAGTCATAGTTCTGAATGTCTGAGATTCCTTTCACCCTACTTCGTGACCTCAGGAAATCCTTGAACAACCATGCTCTTTTGTTTTATAACAAGACACATGCCTTCCTTAAAATGACCACGTGAGGCAAAGTTGGAAAATGGGGTGAGAGGCAAAACACTAAAGAATGTCATCAGTGGCACATAAAAAAAAAAGAAGAAAGAAAACATTAGCACAGTATTAGAGAGTACTACAATAAGTATGGCACCTTACCTTTAAGAGATCTGATGTTTGCCTGTGAAATGAATGTAAGAAGGGCTGCCTCTCCCGGGTACTGAAATACTCTGTCCTTCAAACCCCCATGACACAAATTTACCTGTATAACAAACCTGCACATGTATACCTAAACCTAAAACAAAAGTTAAAAAAAAAATTTTAAGATACTAAAAAAAAAAAAAAAATGGGGGGTTGTGGGGACTGTCTCTGGTATGTTGTTCTGAAGTTCTTGAAGGAGTATCTGGGAAATGAATGAAAAGTTGTAACTGCAGGCAAGGACGGGTGTGGCTCTAACCTCATAACACGTGGTGAACTGAGTAGCTAATATACGTTTGAGGGTGTGACCGCGTATGTGTGCGTGCACGTGCATGTGAGTGTGCCTGTGTGTACATGCTCTGTGTATTCCTGTGTGGCTCAGGGCAGCCAGGTGCAGTTTTCTGTATTTGCCTAGTATTTCTCAGGGAGGAAGTCTTGCATAAGCAAAAGTAAAACTCCCATTATTCTCAAATCGTTCCCTGATATCTAATATATTTGTGGGGGGCAAATAATTCATTGGAACAAATTCACATTTCCAAAAGAAATGTTCCAGCAAAACTGACTGCTCCTGATTTACTTTTAATCCTCTCCTTGTTTATTTAGACTGGACCAAAAGGATTGAGTACCAGCCTGGCTCCGGGAGCATGCCTCTGTTCCCCAGCATCCGCCTGGAGACGTGCGACGGAGCTGTGTCTTCCCTCCAGATCGTCGCAGAGCTGCAGACTAATTACATTGGCAAGGGCTGTGACCGGGAGACCTACTCTGAGAAATCCCTTCAGAAGTTATGTGGTAGGTTTTTCCCTCTGGGGATTTTTTAAATTAATTGCTTTTAAATTATGTATACCAAAAAAGCACATCTTATTATCTTAGAAAAGAATCAACTCTTCACCCCGGAATCAGTATGTGTAACTCCTGGATGGACTTTAAATTTACCTATGGCAAGAGTGTAGGAAGGCTCTGCTTTTGGCACTCGACTCCTGACTCAGACTCCATGTATGAGTTATGTAGCTTTGGGCAGGTGACATGGTAAAGCAAAGACCGTTTTTCTTTGGTAAAACAGGGATTGACTGGCACAATGTGTTCAAGAGCACCTAGGACAGGGCTCAAAGAGACGTGAGTTCTTTTCTGCTCCACTGTTCAGAAAGAGCTACCAGACCACACCCAGTACATAGAGTTAGTAGTGTCATTTAGCTGGGAAGAGATTGGTCCCCTCCCCAAAGCACTAGGTGCATAATTTGTGAGGTCCAATGCAAGTGAAAATCTGGGGCTCTTGTTCAAAAATTAACAAGAGTTTTGAAACAGAGACAGCAAAGAATTAAACCAAGTGTACACAACTAAGCATGGGGCCCTATATGACTACTCAGGTTGTTACTGACAAAGCTGGTCTCACAAAAGATGGAGTCTGTCCGTATTCAGTATCACAAAGCCAATACCCCAAACCAAAAGTGAGTGTCCAGCAGTGCAGGCTTTATTCAGTGGCCGTGGAATTGAGAAACAGGAGCATGGCCAATGAGTGAGGGAGAGGGGCTTAAGATACAGGCTTTCCCTAATGAAGGAATTGGCATTAAAAGAAAAGGGAAGAATATTCATGTCTTTTCCAGAAATGAGTGGTGATCTCCTGGAACCAGTAGTACTGTCTCCCTTTCTTTCCTTTTACAGCTTCTTCCAGTCATTGTCATGGCAATTGTCAACTGTCACGGTGCTGGTTGGAAGTATCATTTAGCATGGAAATGGGATTGTCATGAAGCCTGAGGTCTTTTTGAAGTCGATTGGTGGGCTTTCTTAGTTCTATGTACCAGTCTCAGCTGGTCTGGTTGCAAAGGGAACTTTATATCATAGGTATTCTGTTTGTTCAAGATAAGCAAAGTTAGGACAGGGGAGAAATTCAGGTCTGTCACATAGCCATTCCCCCTCGGAACAAGGTCACATGCCCATGAAGCTGAGCCTGGCTGCCCACGGCAGAGAAGAGCTTGGGGTAAGGGTGAAGGTGGGCAAGGGAAGATATTCACTTGTGAGGGACAGAGAGGGCTTGTTGTCATTTGACTGTGAGATGGCGCCACAAGAAAGGAGGCAGGGCAGGAGTGAAGAAACAGAACTGATGGAGGGGTGCTGTGAAAGGTGGGTTTGGAAGAAAGCCAGCTTCCCTGAGCACCTGCTGTACATGCCCTGCCAGCCTCTTCACTTCAGTTCTCCCATCTTCACCATGGGGAGGACGTCAGCCATCCCATGTTAGAGATGAAAAATCTGAGTGCCAGAGAGTGAAAATGACTTGTCTAAGGTCTCACAGATAGAAAGCGACAGAGCCAGGACTGGAAAGTAAGTCTGTCTGAATGATGGGCGTTTTAGCTCAGTTTCCACTAAGGCTATCCTTCCAGGCCTCTGGAGCCAGAATGGAAATCTCTCAGGGGAGCCTGTGGAACAAGAGAAAGAGCATCTCATAAGGCGGGAAGCACCTCATGCGCGTTGTAAGTCAGACTGTTGGCATGTTGATGGACCTCCTTCACCCCTCCTCCTGCACAGAGTTCGTTTCTTCTTTGTTCTCTCCCAGAATACTCAGGAATTCACACTAGACTCTCCAGCTGTGTTTGGGGGTGCTTAGGAAAGGGCTTACTCTTAGACTGGGCTTGCATTTGGAGGTAACTGCATCTCTTCCAGAAGAAAGGGAGGCTGTGAATGCACAGTCTAGCCTACCGTCTTCCATGGTGGGCCTCTCCACTACTGTGTTTGGGACAGGTTTTCTCCCTCAACTTTCATACACACACACACAAACGCACAGATACACAGATACACACAACCACACACACACACCCCTTCATCTATACTGTTCTAACCCAAGGAACCAAGTAAAACTATTTAGAACTGAATGTGAAATAAACCCTGCTTGGTATTGTCATGGTCCATTTATCTTGTCACCTGGCTGGCAGGGAAGGCCTGTGGGATTGCAGACCTCTCCTGAATGATGCAGTAGATCGGAAAATCACAACTTCAATATTCCATACAGCTCTTGCAGAAGAGTTATAAGGGATCTGCAGTATTCAGAAAACTGCCTCCAGTCCTCTAGTCCACTCTGTGGGCAGAGAAGCCATTTAAGATGACATCTTATTTTGAAGGGATACCCCATTTTGCTCCCCAGGCACCTGAATTATAAGTGAACTCAATCCCAGGCCACTGTAGGCTAGCGTCATTTCCCAAACTCCTCCAGGTTAGGAGGAGGTGATGGGATTGGCTTGTTAAAGATCAGATGGGCCCAAGGGCATCCACTTGTGATTTGACTTTGAATGTTGCTGGGGAGAGATGGGGCGAAATGGAGTGTGAGAAGAATTTTCTGAAGGAAGAAATCTTAGAACAAAATTGCATCTAGTATGTTAACGCAGCTCATTCCATCTGTGCTGCCAACCTGCAGAAGGGCAGGTTAATTCAGCCAGCAAGGCAGGTTCCCCGCAAGGTGCGGCCTTATTGGGTGCTGGGAGCTTCCCTTTGAGGGAGGGAAGTCTGTGCTTCTCTCCATAGCACTGCCCCCCACCCCCACCCCACGCCTATGGGAATCCTGTCCTAGTAACTCTGCTGGGCAGGGTCAGTCCCAACTCCACATTAGAAGCCTGGCTTTTGAACTACACTGGAGGAGGGCTCAGATAAAATGGGCAAAAGCAAACGAGTGAGGCCCAAATGCAAATCCGATCCTGGGGTCAGCTTCCATGTAGGGGCTCATGTTCTCTCCAATTGTAAGGGAAATAAAGGCTGGATCACTTCTAAAATGGAAGCTGAGTGGTAATGCTTGACTCCTGTAGGGTACCTTCAGTTCCAGAGACAAGTTTCTATATGCCTTCTGTGGGTGGTAGACAAGCTGCTTTCTGGGCTTCCCAACTAGGGAGCTGCCATGACCATTTAAGCCTCATTATTCACGCATTTTCCAGCCTACAAATCTTTATTGACTTTGGATGAAAACAGGAAGACCAATTAGGGTATTATAGCCATGGTCTACGGAAGAGATAATGAGTTCTGAACCAGGTGAGTGGCAGTGAGGATGAATTTAAGACAGATTTTGGAGTCAAAATCAGCAAGATTCAAAATGATTGATTAGCTGTCCGGAGTGAGAAAGGAGGAGTCTAAGAAGGCTCTTGTGTGGGTGTCTGGCTGCATGAGGATGCTGCCAACCAGAGCTAGGAATCCAGGAGCAAGGGCAGATCCAGGCGACAACGGTGGCAGTTGCCTGTGGAATACCCAGGTGTGGGTGCCACATTCTCGCCTGATTCTCCATCCTCCCAAGGGTCAGCCTCCGCCCTGCTGATCCGTTACCATAGCACACTTCGCCCTGACGCTCTTCCTCTGCTTGGTCAGGGCTCTGCCTGGTTCCTTCTCATCCATAAGCCTTCACTCACATTCTCCTCCCACTAGGATGGTCTCTCTCCTTCACCTCTCCAAAGCCTTCCCTCTAGTCAGCATTTGCCGGCCCTGTATGCCCGCCAGGAGTCCGTCCGTGGAGCTATCATGGCAGTGTAAGTTCTGGAGTCTCCTCTGTGGCGCCATAGTCATGCAGTAACCTAACCATGGATGTCTCCTCAGAGGGTCACCGTGGAAATCTGGACATGGCCCACTGCTTCCTCCTCCTGTAGTGTCGGCCCCATCAGGAGCAGCGAGGGAATCTGGTTTAAGTGGGAGTTGGACAATAGCTGCTGTCAAGCCTGCTGTCAGGAGGTGCCTGAGCAGATGCAGCAGCACTTGAAATGCCTCTTTGGGCCTGGGGAAGCACTGGATGTCAGGCACATTGCTTCACAGATTTATGCAGGAAGACACTGCCTTCTGCTTTGGACAAAAAACAATGGAGAGCCCTGAACCTCTGTGTCCCCTTTAGTTTGTGAGGCCAGATGAAACTCAAGCAGCCCCCGCCTTCCCTGGCTCTATGTGAAGCCTGGCTTCTTAGAGAAGCTGGGCCAACTGCTTATCACTTCCTCTGAATTCACAGATCCACATGAAGGACCCTGTCATCTCAACACCAGGCCTTCCAGAGGTGTGTGTCACGGAACTGTCTTGAGGATGAGATGACAGTGAAGCCTTCAGTGAGACCTCTTGGTCAAATTAAATTTGACATCAACAACAGCACAAGAAAAGGTCCACTTTGATGGCCCCACATCACTACATGTTACAGAAAAGTAGTCTGTGGTGCATATGCCCTGGTGGCCCTGAGTCCAGGAACCGTGCCGGTTCCTCACAGGGACCGCGGGGCTCCTGGCTGCTGGCCAGTACCTCCTGCACATGTTGTCTGGGTCAGCTGCGCTGTGTGGGATAAAGAATGCTGAGGGCAGGTCCTGTTGAACAAAAGGCCATAGCGTGAGAGGATGCTACAAAAACGATGTGGTTCATCTGTCAGAGCAGTGCACATGACCAGAACTTAAGGTGTTCTCAGGATTTATGTACTTGTGAGCCCAGGAGACTTTTTAGAGGGCTCATTCATTTATTCACTTCTGCACATATTTGTTAATTCAACAAATATCTGTTGAATTAATACTCCTCCCCACTACTTTGGGGAGGGGTATTCAGCTGCTGTGCTAACTCTTCAAATAATACAGGAATTAAAAGACCATGTGGTTCTCGTGTTGTATAGCACAGCAGGGCAACTATGGTTAATAATACTGTCTTGTACATTTCAAAATAGCTAAAAGAAAGGAGTTTGAATGCTCTCACCCCAAAGAAGTGATAAATGTCTGAGAGGTAGATTTGCTAATTATCCTGAATTGATTACTACACAAGGTATACATGTATCTAAATATTGCATTGTACCCCATAAATAT